TTATTAGGGGAAGTTTATTCTAGATTATTGCTCATCGGGAGATGGTAGTAATTAGGAATAATTGAATGCTGATCTTTGATCTTATTGGGTGTTTAAGCCATGGGAGTGGAAATTCACTAGGAATAGAGATTACGGGAGTAATTCGATTCCACTTTGCATTCCCATACAAATCTTAATTCCAAACTAAATATTGCAAACGATAATTGGCACTAGGTGATTAAATACTTGAATCCCATGAATCTCAACTTCTCTCTAATTGTTTTCAAAATCCTGAACCTCTGTTTTATTTTATTTATTTTATGCCAATCAATCATCTAAGTAATTGTTAGGATTAGCTCTAATGAATAAGTTAGTAACTAGTGCTTGATACAACCACTTCCCTGTGGATCGATAACTCGTACTCCGAGAATTATTTGTTTGTAAATATACTACGCATCATGTTCCTAAATCACGTCATGAAGGAAGACTCACAAGATGAATTAAATGCCACTTAGGTACTCATGAGTCATGAGAATGTCCGTGTGTGTCCTAAGGGAGTAGAATGATGACCTTGAGAAAGGCGTTCCTCCTGTTCGATGACATCCGTTTTCAAGTCATTTAACTCTCATTCTTTTTCTTGGATGGGTTGGTCACATTACTTGAGCCTAGTCTAAACTTCTATTATCCTCTACTTTTTCTATGATCTATTATTTGTTATTATTTGTTCCAATTGCTATTCGTTTTAAATGTTACTTTTATTAGTCTATTCCTATATTGTATGAAATGATCTTTCTTAGAGAATGACAATTACTTACCTTAAGCAAAAATACTCTTCATCACACATACACAAAATAATTACAAAAATTAGGAGGGGGGGGGGGGGGGGGTGGGGGTGTAGAACACTTTATCCTAGATTACACTTAGACTTAACAAAATCTAAATACGCTTTTCCTAACCATCATAAAATCTAAATAACATTATATTCCTAACATTTCTATTTGATTCAAAATAATTCAAATGCTCTATTTAGTGTTCCTTCATAGGTGAATAATAATGTGCATGGACATTTGTGTGATTTGAGCTATAGGCCTTGCATTGATGAAAACCTTAGTCTGTATATTTTTTTTTTTTGAATGCCCTTAGTCTGTATATAATTTGCGTAAAATGATCATTTTCTATAAATTAAACTACTATTACTTTTGATTACAAATTTCTAAGATCCTGTAAAGGTGTCAAATAAGCAGACTTAGGCGGGCTTGGACTGACCCGCCATTGACCAGCTTATTACAAGATTCTATATAAATTGCATTTATTTTATGAATTCTACATTATCTTTAGTAACACCAAACTTTTCACAACGAAATTTGTACTGTGGAATCCCTCGATCATTTGAAATCAATAGATTGAGACTAAGGGGGTGTATTCAATCATGATTTTAGTAGAGTTTTAAAGACTTTTAAAATGATAGATTTTAATAAACTTTGATTGACTTTCATAGAGTCGTTCAAAAAACTTTATAAGACTCTATAAAAGTCTATATAAAAAACATTCATAGACTTTTATCAACTTTTTATTTTAAAAAGTCTACAAAAGTCATTGAAATTCTAAATTGAATACATCCTTACAAACTTTCAATGATTTTGATTCTTATCATTTATACTTTTCTTACAAAACATTTATAATATATCATAAAATTTTCTTATTATGTAGTTCTTCACCCACATCCGCATTCTCAACATTATTATTTTTATCCATAGTATGTTGAGACTTATATGCTAATTACTTATATATAGTATTAATAAACATAAAAAATTATTTCATTAGAAATTCATAACAATATTGAATAATAAAATTTATAATAGAAGAATTGATCAAATAAAATATTTAAAAATATAATTGCAAGTTGCATAAAATAATAAAAAATAAAAATCTAATGTTTATAATATATATATATATATATATATATATATATATATATATATATATATATATATATATTATACTTGATATATTGCTAGGCATCACGCAAATAATTATTATTTGTAATAGCAATTTGAGACTGCGAACAACAACAAGGTGTTACTGTTTGCAATCCCAAATTGTTGTTGCGAACAGTAGTTCGTTATTCGTAGTAACTTGTTAAAAAAAAGAAAAAATATATATTACGAATATAAATATAAAAAGAATAAAAGTCAAAATATATAAATATTTATATGAATATTATGAAACATATACTATAAAATTTAATGATGAAAAATTTGCTTTGTTCATGTATTTAGGGAGAATTAGAGAAAATTAGGGTTAAAAAAATTATAGAAAAAATAAAAATCAATATAAACAAGCAATATTGAAGTAAAAATAATATTATTTCAAATTTTTAGAGGAAATTGTAAAGTTTAGGAGAGAGAAAAATTGGTAGAGTTTAGGTATGAGGAAAATATAGGATAATGAAGAAAAAAATAATTTTATTAAATTTAGGTAGGTTTATAAAGTTTAAATTGGGAGAAAAAATAGAGTTTAAATAGAGAGAAAAAGAATTCAAAGTTGTTAGAAAGAAAATTTTGAAATCTGGGGGTTGATGGTTGGATTTCAACTATTTATATTTGAGATGAAAAAGTGTACAGAAGTCTTAAAATTAAAAAGTTTACAAAAGTTCATAACTTTTTGAATACCACGGGACTTTTAAAGACTCTCTAAAAGTCTTAATTGAATGCCACACGACTTTTAAAGACGCTTTAAAAATCTTGATTGAATACCCCTTGACTTTTAAAGGCTCTCTAAAAGTTTGAATTGAATACCTCCAAACTTTTAAAGTTCATAAAAGTCTTTAAAACTCTATGAAATTCATGATTGAATACACCCCGTAAGAAAGATACGAATGATTGATTTTATTCTCATACTGCATGCAACTACTTGAGAAACATTTAAATATTTTTTTTTTTTTTTTTTTTTTTTGCACAATGCGTAAATTGAATTTGTCTTGGTAATAATATATGTTTTTCTTTTACATCTATAAACACTTTTATCAATTTACAAATAAAAGAATAATAAAATAATTAGTAAAAGTAAAGCACATACAAAAAAAAAAAAATTAATTACAATTTCTTAATTCACCCTTCTAAAATCTACTCGAATTTGACCTTTATCTCCCGTGAATGGCTTAATATCTTCCATTTTAACCATATAGTTGACAAAGTCTTGCTAAAATATACCAATATTTTTAGTATATGATGGCTTAATATCTTCCATTTTAACCATATAGTTGACAAAGTCTTGCTAAAATATACCAATATTTTTAGTATATGATTTGACAAGATAATCGGTTTGATCACCACTGAAAAGTGCTTGGTCGGACTCTAATATATAGCCCCTTTTTTGTCATCAAATTCTTGAAGTATTTAGGGTCGAAAAGTGTTGGGGTTGGATCAAGAGAAGCTTGCAAGTTGGAATCACCCCCATTCTGAGGGCAATTAGCTTGACGTTGGCTTACAAACTCGGGATCAATATCTAATCTTGATTGCTATAGATGCGCTTCTTGAACGTATGACACTGCACAAACCCAAAGGTGTTTGCAGGTGAAAAATGCGCACAAATATTTCGTCCCGAGTGCACAAATTTCAGCAATTAACTTCGTCCATATTTACTGCTCTTTAAAAAAAATTACACTTGTAATTAACAAAAATTATACACTTGAAAGCACAAAAACATGTACTTGAAGGCACAAAAATATGCACTTGAAGGCCAAAGTTATAATCAATTTTTTTTTTCACTATTTTTAATTTTTAATTTTATATTGTTTAAATTATTTATTTGCATTAGAAAACTTTTGTCTCCTTGCCATGCCAGTGGAGTTATATGTGAAGTCTACAAATATTACAGTTTTGATCTGTTATTTAAACTGATGCCATGTTTCTTTTCCTTTAATTTTTTAGTTGACCTGAAATTTAAATGGACAGTTTTCTCACCCTACCATCAAAATCTTAATCTCACAAAAGATTCCTATGATTCAATGGTGAGTTATGTCTTCTTAACTGTGTTTTTTCCATGGACAATGGATTTGTATTTATGTGTCTTTTTTGCTAATTTTCTTTGTTGCAAGTGTTTCTGTGCCTGGAAGTAAGGATGGAAGGTTTTCCAGCTCTGATCTTTATTTGCGACGTTCTCTGGAGGTGAAAATTGGCATTCTCTTAAGCCTAACGAGGAAGTATGGTTGCAAAGTCTTTCACCTCGCCCTTTTCTTTGCGTAAGAGAATATCATCGATCTGCTGCATTCATTTAAGGTACCTTGATTTATAGATTATGGTGCATAGTTTAATTTTATTTAATTTTAATACACTTAATTGAATAGAACGAATTGAAGCCGATGAAAATATTATATGGTTGCAAAGTCTTATGCTTGTCTCTTTCATTGCTGCAGTAATTATGCTGGTATATGTGCACATGCTTGTATAGTTATTGAAATATATATAAGCGCAGCACACAATGACGTTGAAGCTAACATTTGTAACACAAATGATCTGTAACGCACACAAATGATTTGTAACGTAGTTCGGGCAAACAACCCTAATCTGCGAGACACTTCTCAATTTGAGAATTTGCCTAAATCCACTAAAAGTTTAATATTTAAAGTACACTGTTTGGAACCGGAGATTACACAATAGAACGATCTTTCTTATCGGACTATTCAGACCTAAACACATGTATTACTTTTCAAGGGGATTTGGGTATCTCTTCTCAATGACTCTTGTACCTCACAATTAGATCTTGAAAGCTTAGGGCCCGTTTACTAACAGAAAATAATTCTCTGTTTTCATTTCTCTGTTTTCTATTCTCTGTTTTCAATTCTCTGTTTTCAATTCCCTGTTTTCGAAAACTGAAGTTGAAAACTTGTTTACCTGTACTTATTTTCGAAATCATATTCTCCATTTACTAAATTAAAAATATACTACATACATATATTTATAAGTTATTTTGTGACAAACTAAAATGTCATTAGAAAACATATTAATTGCATGCAATAATTTAAAATAAGTTGTTCGTGACGAGATGTGATTACAAAACATTACAAATAAAATTGATTACACCATCAATGATTATAATTTGCCCAGAGTGCATTTGTGATGTCCTCACGCAATTGTAGCATTTGGTCTTGTTGACTCATATCTAATTGTATGGTATCATTGCCGCCACCACTACTACTTCCACCATCATCCAAAACCATGTCTTGCGTTCCGTACATCATACCTAATTGATCATCCCTATCTTCCAACCGAATGAAATTATGTAATGCACAACATGCAAGAGGAATTTGTCTTTGCCTAATCAATGGGTAACCATTAATGGACTTTAGAATTGGGAATCTTGCCTTTAAAAGTCCAAAACACCGCTCAATCACATTCCGCAAAGATGAGTGTCGATAATTAAATAGGGCTTGCTTATTTCGTATCCGTCCTTGCCCACGAAAGTCATTCAAGTGGTAGCTCTCCCCGCGGTATGGACCGTATGGTGCTAAAAAATCGGGTGCATTTGGATAACCACCATCAACAACGTAGTAATAACCTATTTAATTGACAAAAATAATATACTTAAAAGAAGTACTAAATTACGTTAAGTTAAATAATTGAAATTAATAAGTTATTCGAATACTCTTACCTTCGGGTGACATAGGAAAATCACTTCCAGGCTTTGAGATTGCATCTAAGAATATGCGAGAGTCATTCACACTTCCTTCTCAACCCGCATGCACGAATGTAAACATCATGTCATGCGAGCAAACCGCCATTACATTTTGGGTCAACATTCCTCCTTTTCTACCTCGAAGTGTGCTTTGCTTTGATGCAGGTGCCCAAGCTTGAGTTAGAGCATAGCAGAAGCTGCTGTGAATCTTTTTCTAGAGCTTCCTCTACAACTTATTAGTATTCCAAAACTCTAGACCACCAAGCATGATGCCCTCTATATACCTCCATTCCAGAAAATCAAGCCATCCCAAAACATATATCAAAAATTAGAAATTTAAACAAGTACAGAAAGCCTCTTTTTCAAACAATCTGTTTTATTTTATGAATAGAACAATCTGCTGTCCTATTGAGGGATAAACAATATATTCTATTTTATGAATAGAACAAAATCTAGAAAAAACAAGAAATAATCAACTCATACGCATAAGCTAATCAACGGCCGATGCACAATAGACAAACAAGTGTTGACATTGAAAGAGAAATCAAAGTAGTGAACTGACCGATGATGAATGAACCGCCGCGATGAGAGATGGATTACAGAGGGAAATTCGTGGATGGGCCGGCAGTAGCACTACTCGGTGGACTTGGAGCTTGGGGGTGGTCTGTGGACTGTGAGACTGACGGTGGCGGTGGACTCCGGAGGTCGGCAGCGACGACGACTCTTCCTCAGGCAACACCTCTCGTAGATGGTGGTCAGTGGACTCCGGAGGTTGGCAGCGAGGACGGCTCCTCCTCAGGCAGCACCTCTGGTTGGATCCTCCTCAGGCAACACTTCTCAGATCGGAAAACGAAATAAATGGAGGAGTCGGTGTGAAGGTCTGAAAGAGAAGGAAAGGGAGGAGTGGGTGTAAAGGTCTGAAAGAGGGAAGGAAAGTAGATGGGTGGTAGGTGGTAGAGTAAAAGCTGCCATTATTCTCTGAAGAACACATGAGAAGAAAGAAAGAAATCTCGGAGAAGATACTTGTTGGAATCGATGACTGGTCTCTTTTGCCTTATTACTGTTCACGCGTGTTGTTCTCATTTTGAAAACAAATTTTTGGCGTGTTTCACTTTTCTTCTTAAAATAGAGAACAAATCTCTATTTTGAAAATGGAAAAAGAAAATGGTAAACACCTACACTATTTTCTGTTTTCAATTTTAGGAAATTCTCGGAAATTTCCTGTTAGTAAACGCCAAATTCTACAATAAAGGACAACCCCTATTTATAGTAGCTACTCCTAACAGATTCGTGAATAACTAAGCTATTTCTAATCAGACTAGAACTAGAAAAACTTCAATAACAATTCCCTTTAGAACTAGTATTAATAACTACTCTTCTTAGGCTTGGTATTCCTTTATTGAGTTGGAATTCTCTTTGCACATAACTTTGACAAAACACTTTGAGTCAACAATCTCCCCCTTTGTCAAATTTTTTGCAAAAAACCTTGATCTCATAGTGGCTTGATTTCCTATTCTTCTCTCCCTTAATTGATTCCATGTATCTCTTTCATATGATGAGTGTTGTCTTGAATTTCTATTTGTGGCTTCATCACTGTTTATGAGTTAAATGAACATTGTAACACCCCCTAAAACCATGCTATTTAAAGCCTCAAAACATGCAGATATCTAAACCAAAACATCAAACACAGCGGAAGACTGAAAGAGGAAATATATATAAACAAAGGAAACGAGGTGCTATGCCATGCTCACCCAAGGGTGAACGCACAGGCTAAATCTGCATTGTTTAAAGTCTACAACCATCAAAACAAAATACTAGTCTAGATTGGCTCACAGGCCACAAAACATAAAAAAAGGGAGCTATACTAGTAGGCACTAAACCGCGCACTCGTCTAAGCATCACCTGAAAGAAGCATATAAAACATGGGACGACGCCCGGTCAGCGAATAATGCTGGTAACCCACCAATACATGTGAAATATCATACATAGGTAAGATATACATTTGTAGAATCATTTGCGAAACGGAATACATATATATAAGTCAAAAACCAAGAGTAATAGTCAACACAAAACTCAACACTCTCAACAAGAATACGGGAACACATCCCAAGACTACAAAGAACAACAACGACTCACAAGAAGTCCCAAGGTATAATCTATCATCACACAATAGATTAATACCCGACATGCATAACTCACGGAATAAAGACACACCAAACGGCAAAACATGCCAAGGCAACACATGCCTTTGTGACTACACACGTCACAAGAAGAGAACTCACAACAACGGCTACACAAGCCCTCGCGACATCACCCATCACGAGTTGATATGCCTTCCTTATGCACGGTTCCAACCTTATGGCTACCCCCAACCTTATATCTTTTTCCAACCATTACCTCCAGGACCCCTGTACTTCTTAGTCCAACCTTTTCCCTCCTGGGACCGTCGTCCCCCACCAACAAACCACCAATAAAACCACCAATTTCATAGTACACGAGGGTACCGATCACACACACGGCAACACATGCCACCCAAGAAATATGTGAACCCATCACTCAGGTCACAAACTCCATAATCGCGTCATGGCCACCACGAGGACCATTGCAATACCTTGGTGACTAGTGTCCCATACCACTAATCGTGCAATCCAGGTAAAGCCACACACACGTCACACCACAACAGGAATCAATCAACGGATAACAACGAAGATATGAAACCATACTCAATCAAGGAATGGATGACAGTCCAACAACAACAACGATGAATAACACAAGTTATCATCAACCATTAAGAAAGTACAAACAACACACACGCTAACATTTAAACACCGAACTAGCATGCTTATCAAACGGATAAACCAAACGTAGTTCCGAGGAACACACAAGACTCATCACGGTTTAACGAAACACAATGTTGAACACTTAGCACGATTCACGACACCAAAACCTACATGGATTCAAGAAGACACTCAAATAGTTCCACAAAAGAACATCGGGAAGTCAAAAGACCAAATACCGAGTCAAAAAAATCACGGGGAACAAATCCCCCAACATCCATATACTGTATCCCGCGGGTGGACCCACGGGTAGTCCCCTACCCGCGGTTCTGCCCGCGGGTACCAAACCACGAAGCCTTTGTACCCCGCGGGTAGGCGGCGGGTAGACGCCCTGCCCGCCGTTCTGCCCACGGGTACGTAACCCTGTACAAAATAATCCCTTCGGGGATTTTCATCTCCAAACTCAAATTCAAGTCCAAAACATGCCAAATCTCACCAAATACGACAAAATGACTTGAACCAAAGGAATAGCCAAGCAATGGCATACAAGAACCCTAAACACAAGCTCTAGATATGCATTTTCACAAGACCATGCATAAACACTCACATTTCATAGCAAAACACATGTAGAATCCAAGAATCATCAAATAGGTAAGCAAAATAGATTTTGTAGAGCATGGGTTACCTCTTGTAGACAAAAACCTTCACTTAACACCTCACCAAGCTCCTATCAAAGCTCACCTTCCAAACCCACTTCAAGAACACACTAAAAGATCATAAAGATTCTATCTTTAAGAAAAGACACCTAAGAAAACACTAAAAACACAAGATGAACATGGATCTTACCCTCCTAGATGCCCAAATGTATGAAAGGTATAATCTTGGAGACAACTCTTGAAGTTTTGGCAAGGCTTCAATCTTGGCTTGGAAGAAAAGCTATCTACCTTTTTAGAGAGAATGTGGAGCTAGAATTTTGGAAAGTGTAAGGAGAGAAATGAGGGTGCTCTTACTAGGTTAGCTTACAATACTAAATCAAGGTGAAAGGTCAAGAATACCCTTACTAACACGAAGAAGTGTAAGGAAACAAGGGAACTCCTCACAAAGCTCAAGGTACAACTTTGACTTTGGGTTTGACTAGTCAATTACTAGTCCCCGACTATTGAATTTCAGGAATTTAAGGAATTAAATTACAAATTGAAATAGGATTAATTATTTAATTAATCCCTTAATCGAATTTGGATTTCGGGGTGTCACAAACATAGAATATCATCCCTGACTTCTTTTCTTGTTTTCTTGATAGCAATAAAAAGAAACTTAGCAGAAAATGTCATTTGTTCAAGTTTCACAAGGAGAGCACAATTTTTGAGTTTCTTTTCTCAACCCCTTTTTGCTAAAAGTATTCCAAGACTGTTGTTTATTTATTTATTTATTTATTTATTTTTTGCTGAGAGTTTTCTTCATCTTTTTTTTTTTTTTGAATATTGGCACGTGTTCTTGAGTTTTCATTCCCAGAATTTTTCACTTGATTTTTCGGAACCCAACTTGTCTCTTCTTCATTTAGTCTTTTAGCCCTAGGATCAATCCCTTCGAAGGATCGATTCTCCTCCCTTTCCTTTGATCTGAATTGAGATTTGGAATGGTGGGTTCATCAACACTAGCTGTAAGATGTTCATAGTCCAAGGAGGTAGTCTGAAAATTTTCTTCAAATTCGCATTTTTTTTTGTGGTTCCGCATGTTCGTGAACCTTTGCCTCTTCTGCATCTTTCAAATAATTTATGGAGGTATTTCTCAAAAATATCAGATGAAGGAGGATCGGTTGCCCATCCATGGTTTAGGGCAAACACTGATTGACCCACGAGGTTATTCGGGTCAACAATACGGTTATCTCCCGAATTGACGGTGAGTGACATACAATTGGATTATTCCCCATAGTCAACTACAAAAGGATTTGGGTTACCTGGAGAAGAGCCTTTGTATTCTTGAATATCGCAAATTTGAACCTGAGATATGGGAGTCTGGTTCATGACGATCGTTGTTGGGTTATCGTCTTCAATGCGAATTTGGTTTGAGAAGATTCCAGTGCCACTATGCTGAGATATCCCCTATGAGGTAATTTTTTATTTAGATTGATTCCGTGTTTTCACCATTTGTTGTTTTTGAGCCGTATTTTGGCTTTCTTTAAATTAGTCTTTTCAATTTTGGCCCAAACACTATATTTCTTTCACAAATTACACAAACCAATCTTGGATCTTAATTTTGCATATTTGTTTGCTGTTTAGAGCCTTATCAGTGTTTTTGCATTCAAACTTAGAGATGTGGCAGTATACTCCTTTTATTTTGTGGAAATCTTGTTTCTTTCCTCTAGTCTTTATTCCTTGATTGAGATCTCTCATGATATTTTCCAAAGAATGATTTTTATGATTTTTAAGACAGTAGAATGACTTTTATCCTTTTCTTCATTTGGTTCTGTTTCTGTTCTGCAATTCGGCATATCATTAGTCAGAGGTGTTAGAACAGTTGTTTCAACAACTCTTGGACTTTCGTCATCATCAGTGGTTATTGCTGGAGTTACATCATCAATGATCACACTGTTTGATGAATAGCCGGGGAATGCTCCTTGGTCATGAAAATTTATGTGTCCCATACGTTGGTGCCATAATTGTATTTGAATGATGGTTGTCTGTAAACAAGATAGATCACTATCCCATGTGTAGCGTTTGTTTGTAGACCTTTTTCCCACCATGACACACTCGTGATTCTGATTAAACACATTGCAACTGTCTCTAGAGAACTCTACATATAGCATTTGTTTGAACCGTTTTTCTCCTCTATCTTTTTCATCTTTTAGAAACTGATTTTCTTCCATGAGTTCTAGATTTACTTTGATGATTTGTTCCCATTTGGCATGTAGTTGAGTATATGCCTCTAGTAATTCTTGTATATCTTCCCCGTTGTTATTTTCATTATTTGCGGTGAATGCTACGAAATTGGTGTTGGTGTCTTCTTCACTGTCTGAGTCATCACTTAATGTTGTCATGTATGTCTTGTTCTTTCTTTTAAGATATGTAGCACATTCTGACTGGATGTGTCCAAACCCTTTGCACTCATAGCACTGTATTCCTTCTGTATTTGAACTGTCTCTTCTTTTTGAAATAGATTGATTTTGTCCAGTTGGGAAGTCTCCTTGATTGATTGAAGCACTTTTGTTTCTAAATTTGTTGAATTTTTTGAGAACTCTTGTTGAAATTCTTTGTTAGGAGAGCAATTGATTGTTCTATGGTTTCAGTATCAATTTATGGACTTTCTTTCTGCTTTGATTGGAACGCAATTCCTTTGTCTTTATTTTTCCCTTTTTGTAGTATCTCAAGTTCATATGTTTGAAGATTTACCATTAGATCACTGAGTTTGTAGGTGTCTAGATCTTTGTTTTCTTGGATGGCTGTAAACTTTATCATAAATCTCTCAGGTAGGGAACGTAAGACCTTTTTGACGAGCCTAGGTTCAGGAATAGGTTCGCCTAGGTTAAACGCATCTCTAAAGATGCTTAAAACTCTAGCACTAAATTGTGTGATATTTTCATCTTCTTCCATTTTCAAGTTTTCAATCTCTGTCTGTATCATCTGTAATTTGGATTGTGTTACAGACGTGTTCCCTTCATGATGATCACATAATATACTCCACGCAGTTTTGGCTATGCGAGTGGTGACACTCAGTTTGAAGGTATCTTCGCTCACAGCTCCATAGATTGCATTCATTGCCTTCGAGTTGAAGTTATATTCTGTTTTTTCTTCTTCAGTCCAGTCAATTTTAGGTTTGCTGTTTCCTTTATCATCAACTGGAGTTTTCCATTCGTTTTCTATAGCATTCCAGACACCTTCTCCTTGTGCCAAGATGTATATTTGCATTCTGGCTTTCCAGTAGGAAAAATTCGTGCCAATGAGGGCAGGTGGCCTAGTGCTTGACAGTCCTTCTCTGGGAAACTCCATTAGGATCCTGCTAATAACTTAAGCAGTTTGGCTCTGATACCAATTGAAATATATATAAGCGCAGCACACAATGATGTTGAAGCTAACGTTTGTAACACAAATGATCTGTAATGCAGTTCGGGCAAACAACCCTAATCTACGAGGCACATCTCAATTTGAGAATTTGCCAAAATCCACTAAAAGCTTAATATTTAAAGTACACTGTTTGGAACCGGAGATTACACAATAGAACGATCTTTCCTATCGGACTATTGAGACCTAAACACATGTACTACTGTTCAAGGGGATTTGGGTATCTCTTCTCAATGACTCTCGTACCTCACAATTAGATCTTGAAAGCTTAAATTCTAAAATAAAGGACAACTCCTATTTATAGTAGCTACTCCTAACAGATTCGTGAATAACAATGCTATTCCTAATCAGACTAGAACTTGAAAAACATCAATAAAAATTCCCTTTAGAACTAGTATTAATAACTACTCTTCTTAGGCTTGGTATTCCTTTATTGAGTTGGAATTCTCTTTGCACATAACTTTGACAAAACACTTTTAGTCAACAGTTATATCTAATGTATTCTTGGTTATTCTCTCTTTCAGTAAGGTGGACTCTCCCAACATTGCATGGAAAAGGAGGCGGTGGTGGAAGCTCACCAGCAAGATCCTCATTGTTAGAAGCTCACCGGCAAGATCCCTTGCTGGTGGCCTCTACTCCACACCAAATGTAGAGTCTCTGTGGTCATATAACTGAGAAAATCGAAAAATAGATTAAAAAAATGAGAAAATTGGGATAGAGTATTAGGGAATTTAGGGCCAATGGCATGCCTCCTATCCAGTGGAGGACAGTTTATAATACTGGATTGATTGTACTCAATGTATCTTTTATTTACACTTTAAATAGAGTTATAGACACTTACCGCTTTTATTTTACTTTAGTATTTACTATTAGAGTAAATTTTAATTTGGTTCTGTGACTCGTGGGGTCTTGTTAATTGTCATCCATGACTTTTAAAATTGTTAATTTAGTATTTTAACTATTCAATCTTTATCAATTTTGGTTATTTCGGTTAAATTGTGTGACAATTTTTAATTAGCCAATTAATCTTTAATCTAAGAGGCAATTTTGTCTTTGTATGTGTGGTCGAAAAAGGAGGTCTGTAACACCCCCGATTTTACCAACATTTTAAAACTTAAAATTTAAAGATAAGCATCTAAACATCGATCAACATAAAGCGAAAGCTATTAAAAACCGGAAAAGGTGTTATGCCACACCCGTAAAACTATGGGTGCACAGGCTAAATCTATCACAATCATCAAACATAACATAAGTCTAGGCACACAGGCCAACAAAAGCAATACATCTAATTAAGCACAGGAGCTACACTATCTAGAGTCCACATATAGCGTGCTCGCCAACTAAGCAAAACATGTAAAACATGGGGATAACACCCGATCAGCGAATAATGCTGGTAACCCATCAATACGCGTTAAATAGCATAGTATAGATAGATATAATCAAATCCATTTGGAACTGAGGAATAGAATATATAGTCATTTCAAAGCCAGAAGAAGATCAACATCAAAGACTCATCACACTCTAGATGATCCCTGTTCTTGTTTAGATATATATTCTAAACAACTCTAGCTTTAAAATCAAGATCAAGGCTCGAGACACAACACACTAGACACTATAGAACAATCATAAAGACTAGCATGCGCTCTAAGAACACGATACACAACATAATAGACAAATAAGCTCATGAATAACAAATAGAGACAACAAAGGGATTCAAAGATAATCAATTACCAAGTAATCATCAAGTTACACAAACCATCTTCCAACCTTATACCAAGTTCCAACCTTTTCATTCCACTCCATCCTTATTTCAGTACCAACCTTTACCTCCAGGCCACCCTTATCCCTCATTCCTTATCCCCCTGGAACAACTACATGCCCCACTCCGTAACCACTAACAAGTCCACCAACATGGTAGCACCGAAGTGTCATTCGCATGGTCCGTACCTCTAGTACCAATACCAAGGGTTTAGCGCATATAGCTCTAACATGACACCGCGGCGCTTATACCCTGACCCAAGCCTTTAGCCAGCAAGTCTAAGGGCTGGAATCACGGGCAGCTTACCGCGAGTAGGTGGTGGGTGTTTATCCCCCCCACCTACCCCCTACTGGTACAAAGGTAATTGTCCGGTTCGAGGTTCGTTCGTGGAACCCAAAACTATGTTCAAACACATTCTAACACGTAACAAGAATATCACGGATTCAATTAACGAAGATTAAATGAAGAATCATTCCAAATACGTTCTAACATGATTCCTAAACATGCCAAGACCCAACACCAATCACATAACGGTTCAGGAGCATCCGGAACCTCAAGAACATCAAGAAATCTATATGCAAAGCCCTAACGACAAGTCCTAGGCTAGACTCAACACCCGAGTATGCATAAACCCACCCAATAACGCCAAGAATATCATAACACGAGATTCACGATATAAACCCTAGGGACAAGCTCTAGACATAATTAAATACGAGTTCATACATATAATCAATTACAATATCAAGATAATCAAGATTATCAAATAAACACAACATAAATCCTAGGCAAAGCTCTATCAAGACTCAATCACAGAATCACACATCAAACGAGCCAATAATCAAGATATAGCAAGGAAAATAGGTTTTGTAAGACATGGGTTACCTCTTAGCCCTAATCAATATCCTTGGCTACTAAGGTTCTTCTCTAAGATCTTCCTCCAATGGATCTCCCTTGGTTCGGTGGTGGGGAATTCCTTTGCTAGGTTTCCTCGGGGAATGACTCGCGTGGTAGAATAAATTGTGGTTGGGTTTCTAATTGATTTCTAATCCCCTATATATAGATTCAGGAGTCCTAACTAGAATTTGAATAGTAAAGGCCCACTTTCCCTATTCCTAATAGAATTAAAGACTTGATTAAGGATAAGGGTCCATGATCCATTGTGGACCATACTAATTAATTAATGGAAATTCTAGTCTAATTAAATCATTTTTAATTATATGTTAACGGAATTAATTCCACGATTAGCCCGGATACGGAGGTTGTAATACGGGAGATTCGGTAAGGGGACCTTTTGTCGCCTTACCTGTTCATCATTTGTGCCGAAGGATTATCCATCCTTCTGCAACAGGCAGAGTCCTGAAGGGATATTCATGGGTTGAGGGTAGCCCGGGGGGCCCGTCTATCAATCACCTATTTTTTGCTGACAACAGTTTATTGTTTTTCAGGGCCACCCAACAAGAAGCCTTAAAAGTTAAGGATTATTTAGACATGTACAGTTTGGCTTCGGGGCAGCTCATTAATTATGAGAAGTCAAGTGTGGTATATAGCTTTAACACCGTGGCACACATGCGGACTTTGGTTTCTGATTGTACGGGGGTTTGTGCCGCTACAGACCTGGGTCGTTATCTGGGCCTCCCATCAGTCTTGGGGCGGGATAAGACAGTCACGTTAAGATACATTGGGGGGTGGGCCCGAATAGGTTTATAGATGCACAAATTTTTGTCTCATGCAGGTAAAGAAGTCATACTCAAGAGTATAACGCAAGCTCTCCCAATCTTTACCATGTCGACTTTCTTGCTGCCATTGCGTGTCTGTGATATGTTAGAAAAGATGTTCAACTGGTTTTGGTGGGGGGTGGCGGTACGGGGTGTCGGGGTATACATTGGTTAAGTTGGACTCGGATGTGTAAACCAAAGTCGGAGGGTGGTCTTTGTTTCAAGAAGCTACACGAATTTAACTTAGCGTTATAGGCCAAACAAGGATGGCGGTTGTTAATTCACCCGGAATCTTTGGTTAGCCGGTTACTAAAGGCAAAATATTATCCCACCACGGACTTTATGGGGGCACAACTAGGGGGGATTCTGAGCTTTATATGGTGGAGTATTTTGGTCGGACAACGAGTATTGTGGTTGGGCAATGCGCGGCGTATTGGTGATGGGTTAGACACGAAGATATGAAGCTAGAACTGGCTGGCCGAATCTACTAATGAACCACTAAGCACCCCGTGCGCAAAGCATTTGCGGGAGGCTAGAGTGAGTAGTTTGCTCGACGACCAGGGGAGGTGGGATGAAGGAGTTGTCCGTGACATCTTCCTCGCTGCAGACGTAAAAAGAGTCCTCGCAACTCCTTTAAACATTCACTTTAAGGACTCATGGAGGAGGATAGGGGACATTTTCGAGAGGTATATGGTTAAGCATGGCTACCAACTCCTCACACACGGAGACATGCAGCCTGTGGAACCCGGGAGCTTTCATGCTTGGAAGGCTCTGTGTGCACTGCCGATCCCACCTAAGATCAAGAATTTCTTGTGGAGGTGTGCGAGAGGTGTGCTGCAAGTCCGCGACAACCTGAGATTGAAAAAGGTGTGGATCGGAGGTGGCTGCCCCTTGTGTGGCTTCGCGACAGTGACCGCGGAACACCTGCTTTGCAAATGTATGTTTACGCGACAACTTTGGGTAGTCGACGATGTTTTACAGGGTAGAGGTTTCTTAGCTTCATGGACTCCACTATAGGAAGCTCGTCCACACCTGCGGCTGTAAAGCTTGCTGCAGTGTTCTGGACTGTTTGGCTTACACGAAATGATGTCGTATGGCACAACAAATCTTTGCCCGTGGAGGAGGCTTGTGAACGGATAAAATTAAACGCCTTCAAGAGAGCTGGGAAATAGCCTATTCTACAGCGGCTCGA